ATCACCATTAGGCATTGTTAATTTAGCTTTCAGTTATTAACGATTAATTATGCTATAGCGAGTTATGTTTTTTTTTTTTGCAAGGTTCCAACAAATCCTTAAGAATTTTTGCGCCAAAGAAGAGTAATTGTCGTTTAAATAGACTCTGGTACTGATATTTCCTCCTTCGACATGAGAACGATTTAATGTACTGAGACATTATTTTGTAGCGTGTAGAAATTCTGCCAAATGTTATAAGTACAACGTTTTTTTTTTTGTCTTATATAAAAAATATCATCAGGAATTATATCAACTTTCAAATACTAACATAAAGATTTAACAGTTTCAGAAAGGTTTTGAAGATCATTTGAAAGGCCAGTTATTATAATATCTGACCTGTTTAATCGTGACTGAAATTCATGGTTTTGTAATTCCAACTCATTGAACTTTTTTTCATCATTTTATGATTCAAATTTACAAGTTGTTTGCAATCTTTAACTTCATCTTTGATTTCATCCATCCTAATTGAAATTTCCCTCCGTATTTCACTAATTTAATATTGATTTGTGCTTGATCTTAATTCATATCAATTTCATGTAATTTAAGTGATTTTTTAAAAGCAGCAAATTCTTTGCGGATTTCTTCTTTAAAAAAAGTATCATCATCAGGATCAGGTGTATTTTCTGTACATTCTTTGTATATGTATAGTAGGTTTCGGTTTTTGTCTAATGTAAAAAAAAACATCGTTTGAGACTCCTTTACAGTCAACATGTAACTATGTATTACATGTCCTATATTAGAGACTTCGTTTATGACCGGTACCAACATCAACATACACCGCAAGTAGATGACATGAAATGTATTAAATAATTTCAGGATAATTAAAACTGGTTATGACTCCTATTACAAGTGTTATTTAGAGGCACTTTATTATGTTTATGTAATATGATATTTATTTAATGTGCAATTTACAAATATTTGCACGTGTAATTTTCATGCGTAAGACAGAGATCACAACAACAATGTAGATTTAATGCAACAAAAAGAGATAAAATATTGGATGATGAAATCACGTTGTAATCATGAACAATAAATAAGTTATTATTCATACAATTCAATTTTAATAAAATTTTTTTTTTTATCAAATTAGAAATTTTATTTTATATTTTGCACACTTTAAGATAATAAATTTTATATTTCAAACAAGAGAATACATTTTACATCAAAACATATGCAACTCGTATTACTTGCATTTCAGTTAAGTCTTTAAATAAAAAAATTGAAATATGAAAGTAATCGGATTTATTTTTTATAATTTACGAGTTTAAAATTTAAATTTGATAAAAAAATAAATTTCGATTACATTTCAATTAAATATTGAATTGAAAATAGCGAGGACCAATTAGGCCAGAAATTAATTAATTAATAAATTCCGAGTCCGAATTAAGAATTTTACACTACTTTCGTAACAAAATATTTCAAAAATATTTTTTTGTATAAAGTTCAATGTTCCCAAACTAACGATGTGCCTTCTAATGAACATAAAAAAATGCTAATAATTGGAGAAGACCTCTAGTAAAACCAACACTAAAGGATAGAAAAATCCGAATTATTTTGACTAATAATAGCTCAGCAGTTCCTAAGGATCCTAAAACTAAAATTTCAATAGACGCTGGCCCATCAACTATTAAGAGAAAATCCAAAATTATGGACTTTGGAGCTACCAAATTTTCAAAAAAATCATAAGTATCAAATCAGATCTGCAGATCTTATTCAAATTTGCAGCTAATGAAGAAACGTCCTGGAAAGTGAAATTTTCAATATTGCATAATAGTTCTTTCCCATCTTCATTTTATTAAAATTAAATGAAATCTGTCAGTTATGCATCTTTGCTCATCGGTGGCTTCAAGGTCCATATTTCGGGCGTTTCTAGCAATAGTTTTAACATGTTTTGGAACAGCTGAAGGACAATTAGTCAAAAAAATTCTGGTTTTGTTTGTTTATTTGTTTGAAGTTTATAGACGGCTAAACTGCTAGACCGATTTTCTTGAAATTTTCTTCACAGTATCTTTGTGTATGCCTGGAAGGAACTACAGGCTACTTTTTATTTTGATATTTCAAGTAGGCAAAGTAAGTATTAAAAGTAGTCTATTTCAGAAACTACTACAGCTAGAGTCCTCAAATTTTGTATAGATATGAACAATTGTGGTATAGTGGGCGTGCCACTTCCTATATACAGAAAATATTGAATTAGGTGTAAAAAAGGGTAAATTCGGTAACTTCATATCTCCTAAACTTTCATATAAAAAATAAGCGGACAGGTGTCTGGCACTTTTTTCAAATTCGGCCCCTTTAGGGAATAAACGGGTAAAAACTGTATTCTGGTACTTTTTTTGCACCCCATGTATCTTTTAAAACAGAGAACATTCAAAAACAAGTAAGAAATTATAGTCGGGCGTGGCCGACCATATGATACCCTACACCAATTATGAATATTAAATGTGATTTATTTTTCATAATAAAGCATTTATCTTCAATATCCCCTTGTTCCGATACATTTAAGCAATTTATGGATGAAAAACTAATTTTCTGAAAGAGGCTTTATATGGGGGCTAGGGGCAAATATGGACCAAGCCCGATAAAATTTTGTGAATATATTTATATTGACATAATATTTTATTGTGCTGAATTTCATCGCGATATTTGTGTTTATAAGCTAATTTGGGACATTCAAGTAATTTTCTGAAGGGGACTTTGTATGGGAGCTAGGGTCAAATGTGGCCCGATCTTTATGAAATTTGGCAGGGTCATCAAAACTTCTATAAAACTTAGTTGTGCCGTATTTTATCGATATATCTGTATATTTAACATAATTATGAGCTCAGAAGCGCTTTTCGGGGGGTTCTGTTCTATGGGGGCTAGGTGAAATAATGGACCGATTTTAACCATTTTCAATAGGCTTCGTCCCTGGGTCAAATAAAACGTGCGTGCCAAATTTCATAAAATTATCTTGAAAATTGCGACCTGTACCTTGCGCACAAGGTTTACATGGACAGCCAGCCAGACGGACGGACGGACGGACATAGCTTAATCGACTTAGAAAACGATTCTAAGCCGATTGGTATACTTTAAGGTGGGTCTAGGACGAATATTTTTGTATGTTACAAGCATCAGCACAAATCCAATATACCCTCCCCACTAAAGTGGTGTAGGGTATAAATATTTTTGACCCCTTCATAACTTGATGAAAAAATAAAAATATGGTTTTTGGATATTCGGACGTTTAAGGGGTGAAAATTGTACCTATTTTTGGTATTTTTCTTATACATATGAATACATAATAACGGGCTCCCAATACGATGTTGCAACTTTTTGGAATAGAATTTGTATTTCGTTAATGAGGGCGAAAAAAGTACCAAAAGGGAAATTTGATTTTATTCAAACACAATGATCCCATTTACATACAATTTTTAGATTTAGAAACACTAAATATGCTAATGGGGTGTTATTTGGAACACCGGTACCAAGTGATATTTTTTGGTACTTTTTCATTCTCCAACTGGTACTTTTAGAGTTTTCTATGATATTATAATTAAGGGACTTTTCGGTACTTTTTCGTCCTTCGACTGGTACTTTTTGAGTTTTCTATAAAATTTAACCTAGAAACATGAAATTAAGCAAGTAGAGCCCGGAGTAAATGAGAATCTATAAATGGGGACTTATTGGTACTTTATCGTACTTCGACTGGTACTTTTTTGAGTTTTCTAGTAAATTGGACCTAGAAACATGTAATTAAGCACGTGGAGCCCGGAGTAAATGAGAATCTATAAAAGGGGGTACTTTTTCGTTCTTCAAAAGGAACTTTTTTAAATTTCTATAATATTAAACCTAGAAACATGAAAATAAGCATGTAGATCCCGGATTAAGTGAGAACCTATAAAAGGGGACTTTTTGTTCTTCAAAAGGTACTTTTTGAATTTTCTATAATATTGAACCTATAGACATGAAATTAAGCATGTAGGGCCCGGAGTAAGTGAGAACATATAAAACGGGACTTTTTGGTACTTTTTTGTTCTTCAACTGGTACTATTTGAATTTTCTATTATAATGAACCTAAAAACATAAAACTAAGCAATAAGGGACTTGAGTGAATGAAAATTTAAACTGGAGTATTTTCTGGTGCTTTTTCGCACTTTCTTTATATTTATATTGTATACAGTTACTTTAGGAAGATTAAAAGCTACAGTAAAAATATGAAAGGACCCTGCAGTACGACGAACTAGTTCGACAACGTCGATATCAATAGCCACTATGAACTAAAACTAGTAAATTTTCAACCCACTGGCAATGTTATTTACTGAAACTGGGGTTGAACTTGGTGTCTATCGATTTGTAGTTAGAAGCTCTTACCACAGAGCTACTGATCTATGTTCGTACAAAGCTCTATAAAGAGCATGTAATTTTTGTAACAATTTTTGTATTTTCTGTGCCATTAAGTGCAAACCATGTGGTTATTTTAAGCACTACATGTGGCTATAAAAGTGACATTTTTAAAACATTTAATTTATTTGTCGAAAGCTTCAAAAGAAACCACAATTGAATTAGAATCTTAAAGCTCAGGGCGTCCAATATGCAACGAATACAATGACTTGAAATATCAATGGGTCAGATGGATATATCCATTATATATAAGACTTAATAAGGATGAAGAAATACATTTTCATCGTAAGTACACCGGAGAAGGCAGAGTTTTGGTGAGGGGTGCCATATTCTAATATGGTACTGTCAAATTTGCATTTGAGACGGAAAATACAATTGGAGTAAGAATATGTACTTAAAATTTCCATAATTTTGTACTCCAACATTTTATTGAAAAGATATGTATGTTCGTTAAGTGATTCGCAGTGTACATACATAACAAATTTCTTAATAATAATAATAATAATAATAATAATAATAATAATAATAATAATAATAATAATAATAATAATAATATAGCATAATTATCGCTTACTACTTACTTCAAACTCTATTTCCAATTTGCACTTTTCTCTTTCGTCTTCAGCTTTTGATTTAAGATTTTCAATCGCATTTGACAAACCAACAGCATTTATTTCGGTAATGCCTAAATGTGCAGTATCTAATAAAGCTCGATACAAAAATATGTATTGTTTCTAGAATAGAAAAATGTAAAAGTATAAATTTATTATTTTTGTTTTATTCGAATTAATTTACAATTTTGTAATGACCTTTAATAAAACTATCAATTGGATTATATATTTCCAAATTTTTGTAACAAATAATTAATAATTTAGGTATAAGATTCCATGACAAATTTGAAAAATAGCACTGTGCAACAAGAAAATCTTTCCCGAGACCAACGGAAAATGAAAGTAGACCATTAGTATACCAAAATCCCCAAAAGGTTTAAAAAAGTTAGCTCGAGTTTTAATTTATGAGCATTTAAAGTTTTGCAATTTTGTGAACAATTTTCCCATATATGTATTTTATACATATGTATAATGAAATAATCAATATATAAATTACTCAATTATATTTGACTACTTAGACCGGGTTTTTGAGTTGGCAATCAAATGGCAATTAATAAATAGATTAGTTAATCTAAAAATAAATTTAATCCAATGTTAATACCATTTGATGTTTTTGAGTACAAGATTAAACTTCGCAGTGTTGCCATACAAAACAACAGAAAATGTCACTGTTTATTATCAAAACAATGCATATTTTATAAAAAATAAGAAGACAATTGTAAATTTAATATGGAAATTAATGAAAACTTAAATTAAAAACAAAAAAATGTATTTTGAAGTGTCCATAATTTATACTAATCAATAAATAGAACATTTTAATGTTTATATTTATAAAAATTTTATTAATTTTTTTGCTCAGCTGTTTACACTTCTGCATTTCGTGCTTAAGATTAAACCACCTCCATTAGGCGCTTAAACTTGCAAACAAAATTAACTAATTGAGTACTCAAAAACATCTTTCGAGGATTAATTTTAATTTAATCGCTAATCTTTCACCTAAAGATTGGCCCTTAAGGTCAAAGATATTTAAATTTATTAATGTATATATTTTGTTTTTTTTTTTCAAATTTTATTTATAAAATTTATTAAACATTAATAATTATAAAATTTATTAATGTTTATATTTTGTTTTTTAAAATTTTATTCGATTTATCAAAAAATTAAATTCAAAATTTAAAATTTGTACAGAAGTTAAATAGATTATTTTACTAAAATTAGATTTTCTATTGATCCCCTTATTTTACTAAAATTAGATTTTCTATTGATCCCTTCATGGTCTAATTCTGATTTTTTTATATGTTGTTGTTGATATTATAAAGTACTTTTAGTAAAGTAATAATGAAAATGGGAGGTACCATTATTAAGATATCTTTGACTCAAGGATATTTATTTGCCGGTAAATCAATTTGTTTTATGAAAATATTTTATAACATGAAATATTTTACGTTCAGATTCGACAAATAAAGTTTTTTCAATCGTGTTATATATTAATATTATACACTTTTTTTACATAAATTTAATTTTAAACCTAATAAAAATAGTTAAAATAAAACAAATTGGTAAATTGTTTTTTTCTTGCATGAAAATATACGATATACTGTGGCTGCAAAACATATGTTTGTGTTTCAACATATGTGTGTGTTTCAACCAAATTATTTTTGCACAATAACATCACATACATATTTGTTCAAGTCTGAACATGAAATAGATATTGCGTTTGTTTGACGCAACTTTATAAATATTTTACAACAAATATTTTGACCAAATATTTTACAAGTCTGAACGTAGCTTTACATTCTAAAATGATTAAAATCGTATAAATGTGTTAGAATATACATATGGGGAATTTCGTGTGAAGTGAACCAATTTTAAAAATCGATGTCTTCCGATTTGGACGAAATTTTCACCAAGGTTAGTACAAAGGGATAGTATGCCATAGCTTCATCGGTCAAGAACTGCCGGAGTCAGAGGGGGTGAAATTTTGACATTTTGGTCATACAGGGTTTTATTCAAATGAGTGTAACTTTTCACCTATTGGTCCTAGTAAAAATTGTCCAAAGGAGTTCAGATAGCTATTTCTTCATTCTTTCCAAAATCATTTTTTTATTTTTTTTTTTTTTTTCAAAATAGGCCCTTTTTTCCTTAAAAAAGCTTATACTATTTCCTTGAAGGGCTATCTATCAAAAAAAAATATTTTTTAACTAAAAATAAAATTTTTTCAATATTTGCCTTTAAGAGCTTTGTGATTACTTAGTGCGATATAAATATATATATATATATATATATATATATATATATATATATATATATATATATATATATATATATATATATATATATATATATATATATATATATATATATATATATATATATGTATATATATATATATATATATATATATATATATATATATATATATATATATAATTTTAACTCCAAAATGGAAATAGTACTTTGTGTATGAAAACTATTAGTTAACGCACAATAAAACAACAACATAAGTGGTGTAGTGAATTTATTAGTTCATTTATTAGTGTATATCGAAATATTATATGTATATCTCAATCATTTTACCACATATAAATATATATTTCAAAACTTATATAAATATTGGAATCAGCTTTTACTTAATGTAATTTTTATATTCACTGGACTCACCCTTGTCCCGTTTTAGTCCTTTAAACTTGAGTCGAAAATATATAAATATTTTTTTATTTTTACAATATTATATAGCTTGCCAAAAAAACGACCGCCGAAGCCCGTCCAGTGACTACATTTATCTCTTAAAGGAAATTCCAAGGAATGTCTCTGCAGTAAAATTGTAACCGCAAAGACCCGCCGAAATAGGTATTTTTTTAAATACAATTTGGGGAAATTTATGCCCCTATTACGGTTTACAACTCAACTCAGTTGAGTTGAAACAGAAACAACTCAACTTTAAAACAACTTAACTATTTTTGGTACTATGAATTACAACTCATTTCAGTTGAAATTGTGTTGATGTTTCCATAGCAGATGTTTTTTGTCATAAAATTAGGCGAAAAGTTTATGACATCGTATTTTCTTTTTTAATGATATTTAAGACAATTTAAAAAAACTTTACTTCGATTTTTCCAAAAAGAAAAATATTTAAACCAGAGCCAGGCAACGCCTGCTATTGGTCAGTTTTTGCAAGAGCGACAAATAAGAAAAGAGAACGATTTGTACTCTCATATTGAATTCAACACAGGCATGGAAAATTTTAATTTTGAAATGGTGGTGTTTTAAATAAAAATATTAGTTTTTATACCCTCCACCACCATCAGTGGTGATAGAGGGTATATATATGAAAGTATATATATTCTTGGTCCTGTCTGTATAAAACACGCTCACGTCAAAACGAAGCAAAGTAAATCAACCAAATTCACAGAAAATATTCATTATTGCCCTAAGCAGTTTGGTATTGAAAATGAGCAAAATCGGTTCATACCGGGAAAAGTTATGAATCAAAATTTAAAACATCATCGAAAAAAATAAGCATTTTTTACACATTTTGATGTAATTTTCTCGAAAACTATGCAAGGTATTTCCATGAAAATCACCACACATTCTTTTCTGCATAAGAGCTTGATTCCTGCTGAAAATTGTAATAATCGGTCCACAATTTCATATACCTCCCATACAAAAGTACGTATTCCCGGAAAATCAGTTTTTTGTTAATAACTTCCGTCACAATGTCGATATCTTCACAAAATTTTACAAGTTAAAATCTTATGTCAACAGAATTGATCCGGAGAAAAAGTTTTTTGGATCGGTCCATAATTGGACATAGCTCCCATACAAGGTCCCCTCCCGAAAATCACTTAAACGCACATAATTCATTACTAAATTAAGATATCCATATAAAATTTGGTACAATTATTGTTCTCACATACAGAAATATTGTTATGATTTTTTTTCCGATCGGTCCATAATTGGTCCTAGCTCCCATACAAGGTCCCCTCCCGAAAATGACTTAAACGCGCATAACTCATTACTAAATTAAGATATCCATATAAAATTTGGTGCTAGTATTGCTCTTACATACAGAAATATTACTATGAAATTTTTTTTCGGATCGGTCCATAATTGGCCATAGCTCCCATACAAGGTCCTCTCCCGAAAATCACTTAAAACCACATAACTCATTAGCAAATGAAGATATCCGTATAAAATTTGGTACAAGAATTGCTCTTATATACAGAAATATTACTATGAAATTTTTTTTCGGATCGGTCCATAATTGGTCATAGCTCCCATACAAAGACCCCTCCCGAAAATCACTTAAAACCACATAACTCATTAGTAAATGAAGATATCCATATAAAATTTGTACAAGTATTGCTCTTATATACAGAAATTTTACTAAGAAAGTTTTTTTGGATCGGTCCATAATTGGTCATAGCTCCCATACAAGGTCCCCTCCCGAAAATCACTTAAACGCGCAAAACTCATTACTAAATTAAGATATCCACATAAAAATTTGGTACAAGTATTGCTTATATGTACAGAAATATTACTGTGAAATTGTTTTCCTATCGGTCCATAATTGATCATAGCTCCCATACAAGGTCCCTTTCAGAAAAACACTAAAAGGCACATAGCTCATTACCAAATAGTGTTACCCATAAAATATTTGGCATAAATACTGTTTTTGTACACATAAATTTTATTTCAAAATTTTTTCACGATCTGTCAATCCTTGGTCATAGCTCCCATACAAGGTTCTCTCCCGAAAATCACTTAAACGCACATAACTCATTACCAAATATTGATATCCATACATTTAGCAAAAATATTGCTCTTATATATATATATATATATATATAAATTAAACTATAAAATTGTTTTACGATCTGTCCATATTTGGTCATAGCTCTCCAGAAAATCACTTAAATGAAAATCACTATTCATTACCAAATAATGATATAGATACAGAATTTTTAAATTTTGTCTTTATATACTTAATTGGTCATAGCTCACATACAAGGTCCTTTTACGAAAATCTCTTAAACTCACATTACTCATTACCAAATAAAGCTATTGATACAAAATTTGGCACAAATATTAGTTTTGTATACAAAAATTCAATTTCAAGAATT